TCGCATCGCATCGACTCGGACCGTAAGGCCGCTGTTAGGCAGGCAAGTTGCTGTCTTACATGGGCAACTTCGGTGGCGACGCCAACAGCGAATCCTGTTCAAAATGGGCAGAGGCTGGTGGCGGCCTTTTTGACCCTGTCTCCTGCACTCATTTCGGACATAAGGTGGTCCAGGAGAGCGCCAAGAGCGCGGGCGAATCGGCTCCAGCACTTCAAATGGCACATAGGTGGCTCAAATATTGCACCAATCTTGCCCCAGATGATCAAGGCTATTCCTAGACAGCCAAACTGGCTGCAAACATCCCTCAAGACGGCCGGATAACCTCCCCTCGGGGACTCACAAGACGCCAGAAGCACGAAAACAAACAGGCGGTTGTTGATGATCATAGCATTCTCGCCCGGACAAAAGGTGGCCCCGTGAGGGCCCGAAGAAGGCCCCAAAGGAGCCCCGAGAGGGCCCAAAGATAGCCCAAGCAGGACCACAACAGGGCCCAAGTGCGGGCGTCGGGCCTCAGGATGACCACATGATAACCCCGAGCCAGCCCCAAGACGGCCCACAGATCCCCCCCCTCTCAGTAAGCCCCCTGAAGGCTCCCAAAGACCCACCAACAGTCCCAACGATGCTCCGACGGCCCACGAAAGGGCAGTAACTGACTGCCTGCTCGCGCTTCCTTCCTTTTTCCGATACCACAACTCGGATAGGAGTGTGTGCCGCTGAGTTACGCACGCAATGTGCCTAGCGACTGCTTCTCCCCCACGTGAGCTTTACGCGTCAGCTTGGGAAAACTGCAGCCACCCAGCAACTTCCCAATGCTCACGAGCACAGAGGCGCATGGAAGGATATAACAACATGGGCCAGCAGAACGCGTGAAACGGTTGCATGATGAGCATATGGACGTGCGCGCTGATGAAGCAAACAGCGTAAATTCAGGATGTCGAAGCGTACTTTCGCAAGTGGGAGTCTAACAAGGCATCAGAACTTACCAGGTGCACATGCGCCATGCCAATCGCTGACTCATCGATGCTTCACCTGCAATGGCTGTATGATGCTCCCAGGCAGATGCACTTTACCCCGACAGCGCTCTCCCTGCTGATACACAACGTGAAGCACGGCCTTGGGGTCGCCAAGGTCCGCGTAGCCGACAACCTGTCGAAGATCATCAAATGTTCCAGGTGCCCTTTATTCTAAGAAAATAGCCTATCGAACGCCAGACCTCGACTGGCGAAACTCGCGGCGGCGCCCAGTCGGTCCTCCTGCGCGGGATCTCGATCCGAGGAGATCTGACCGGAATCCAAAATCTCAGCCCACAGAATCGAAGGCATCAGTCGTGCAGCTGGGCTGAGCTGGTCTGCCACCAACCAGTGCAGCACGCAGCGGGACGACTCAGAAGAGGTGCTGCCCGTCTCCCCGACCTCTCGCCCTCCCGACCCCTGGCAGCCCAAACGTCCCCTCATCGTCTCGTTGGCGGCGCCCACGAGGGGGCTGGCGCCAGGGGGGGGGGGGTTCTGAGGAGGCGTCGAGGTTTCCCCTGTCCCTTCGAGGCCCCGAGCAGCAGAAGGCAGAGAGGGCCTGCAAAGGCAGCAGCACGCAACGAGCATGTCACGGATCACGGCCCGCGAATGCGGAAGGAGGGAGGAGGAAAAGGAGGAGGAGGAGGAAGAGGACGAGGATGAGGAGGGAAACGACCGAGGACGAGGACGAGGCCGAGGAGGACGAGGACGAGGAGGAGGACGAGGAGGAGGACGAGGAGGAGGACGAGGACGAGGAGGGACGAGGGCGAGGTTTCTAGAAGGCAGGGGGCTCCTTAGAAGCCTTCCCAGCCTCTAGGAAGCCTTCTCGTGGGCCTCTGGAGCCTTCTACGAAGGCCCTCTCCTTCTCAGAAGCTCATCCAACTTCTTAGTAAGCCATCCCCCTCGCGCCACCCCCCTGTGGGTGCCGCCAAGACTGCTTCCGCTCCGCATCGTACGGACCCTTCTCCTCCCCCTTTCCCCCATGTTGTTCTGTCGCACACCAGCCACGACAGGGCGGCGAAGTCGTCTCCAGAGGCTGAGAAAGCGACAGAAAACGCTAGAACAGCTCGATCCTCGACCCTCGGCCTTCACTCGACGACAACGACAACAACGTTTTGCTGCGCTTCCTGCTGCTGCTGCTCCTGCTCCTCCTGTTTTTCCTCCTCGTCCTCCTCCTCCTCCTCCTCCCCCTCCTCCTCCTCCTCCTCCTCCTCCTCCTCCCTCCTCCTCCTCCTCCTCCTCCTCCTCCTCCTCCTCCTCCTCCTCCCCGTTCCCCTCCTCCTCCTCCTCCTCCTCCCCCTCCTCCTCCTCCTCCCCCTCCTCCTCCTCCTCCTCCTCCTCATCCTCCTCGTGCCCCTTTTGCACATGCTTGATTTCCTCCGCGCCCTCCGCCTGCTCCATGCAGCACATCCACCTTCTGCAGAAGAGCAGACTCAAGCTCAATCTACGCTCTACACTATTACGCGGCGGGGCTGCACGTGGCACCGAGCCGACAGCGAGGCCATAGCTCGGAGGGAGCCGAACCGCGAACGGCAGCATGAATCGCGAGAAAATCTCGAGCGATAGCGCGAGACCTAAGTAAGTCATGAAGAAACCCACAGCGAGAGCGTGATTCCTGAGGGTTACCAGCTCGGCTTTTCATAAACTGTGAATAAGTGCGCCGCGAGAGCGCGATTCCTGGACAAATTGTGGCGACGTCCTGCGCAAGAGCGCGATTCCGAATAAATCGTGTAAACATCACGCGGGAGCCGCTGATGTTGCAAACCGGGGGGCCAAAACCTTCCCCCGTAAAAAAAACAAGGCCCGAGCCCCGAGAACCAAAACATCTTCATTGAAAAGCAAAAGGAAATGCCTCCTCGGGCCTCCTGGGGCTTCTTGCGGGGCGGAAGGGCCGAAAAATTGTCCTTGGGCAGATATTCCTGGGGCGTCCTGGGGCCTCCGCGGGTGGCGGCGAGACTGATCTGGCAGGTTCCCCTGCGCTGCTGGGCTGCGGGGGGTCCCAAGCGAGACGGCCGTTCGGGCATCCGCGAGTAGCAGCAGTAATGCCCTGAAGGGCCCCCCCCCCCCCGTGGTGCTGAATTGCGAAGAGGTCTCGAACGAAAAGGCCGTGCCAGCATCCGCGAGTAGCAGCAGCCTGGTTCTGAAGGGCCCCTTTGTAGTGCTAAATTGCGAGGAAGTCTGAAGCGAAACGCATCCTCAAATAGCAGCACGACTGCTCTGAAGGAGTCCCGTGTGGTGCTGAATTGAATGGAAGTCTCGAGCGAGAGCGTCCTTCCTGAGGCTCGGGCCTTCTCTGGCCAAGGTCTCTCTGAGTAAACTGTGAGGAAGTATTGCACGGGAGCGTTATTGTTGTTGTTACTGCTGCTGTTGTTGTTGTAGTGGTTGTTGTCGGTGCTGTTATTATTGTTGCTGTTGATATTGTTGCTGTTGATGTTGTTGTTGTTGTCGGGGGCCGGTTCGGGCGCAACTCCGAAACGATCGAGCGTGAGCCTCAATTTCAAAGGAAATGCAGCCAGCGCCGAGGCGAGAGAACCAGAGCGCCTGTCGGAGGCTCAACCATAACAATTGTACAATACTGAAGATTCAACAGCCATCGTTTTTAGACTATTCGCTTTCATATGCTCGCGTGTCACTCAAGATGTACGTCCACAGTCCCGGATACCCGCCCTCTCCCTCTTCGATTGTACCCCCCTGAGGGGGCTGTCTTCCTTACCTGCCACGCGTAGTTGTCGCAGCCCCTGAAGCAGGGGAGGGGAGGGAGGAGGAACGAGACACGGGGACACAAGAGATATCTGCAAGATGTGCAAGGAAGGGCTCGGAGCCGGAACGCACGCGGCAAGACCGGACGGGCGGGTCGGGCTGGCGGACCCCCACAGGCGGCGGGCCGGGGGACGGCTGGGTCGAGCGGGCGGGTCGCCGAAGCGCCAGCCCAACAGGAATCGCGAGGAACTCTCGAGCGACAGCGCGATCCCCAGGTAGGTCGACAGGAAATTCAAGGCCAGAGCGCGAGCCCTGAGTGTCGAGGCGCGGCGCCGCCATAGAGAATTGCGAGGAAGCAGAGGAGCGCGATGCAGGGACAAATTGTGACGCCCCGCGCGAGACCAGGATTGTGAACAAACCCTGTCAAGGTTTATTCACAATGAGGGTATATGAGGCATTATCACGCGGATGAGGGCCAAGGTTTTATCACAATGAGGCTTATTCACATTACTCACAATGAGGGTATATGTGATCCACAAACAGCGGCTCCCGCGTGATAATGCCTCAAGTTGAGGCATCATCACGCGGGAGCCGCTGTTGTGGTAAACCGGGTGCCAGCGACGCACTCTGAGGCGCAAGGTGTCCCGTGTAAAACTCGGGGAGACGTACCACTCGGGCTCGGGGGGACCCAGGTTGGCCTCACGGGGCCATCATGAAAATGACGATGAGGCCCAGCCTGAAATTGGACGCGAACTCCCGCTGCAAACGTCCCACGACAGCTGGACCGTCAAAGTCTAGGACGCGCTCAGCAAAAAGCGTCGGCAAACCCGAGTTCCGGCGCACTCGAGTCCTACGTTTCCCAGAGAAAAAAAAAAAAAACACGATGCGAGCCCCGGGAGGAACCCTTCAGTTGAAAGACAAAATGGGAACGGGGGGATCAACAATAATTATTCTGTGGAAATGAAAATTCACCATCGGAAGCAAGGAGGAGGAGAGGGAGGGAGACAGATAGACGTATGTACAGAAAGAGAGAGAGAGAGAAACAAAAAAAAAGAGGCAGAAACTGAGAGTTAAACGAGAGAAAGAGAGACACAAGAAACAAAACGAGTGAAGACGCCATCGGGCGAACGCTTGCGGAAAAAACCTCGCACGTGCGTAGACCGGTCACCCTGGGTAGCGCTGGCACGGGAGCCCGCACAGATGCCCCACAAGAGACGACAGCGAACGCATGCCTGGACCGAGGGGCCCTGCAACGTGGGCGACCACATCGCACTGCGGCAGCCAAAGCAACGCAGCCAAAACACCCAGGACCTCTGGAGGCTCCTGGGGCGCCAGGGTGTTGAGCGGACTGGCACTCGGCGGCGATGATAAGGGCGACCAGCCCAGGGAAAAACATGACACGGATTCGCCAGGGAGCCTTGTCGAAGACACAGATCATCGGCGCCCCTGGATACATGTATCGCTCTCCCCTGGGCTATTCGCCCTTGTCGTCGCCTCTGAGGCGCCAGGAATCTACGAGGCAAATCGAGCCCGGCGCACTTGGGCCACTGTGCGCCGCGGGGCAGCCGTGCTTAGCCCGCCGGGCGGGCGGAGCGGCGGACCAGCCCGAGAGGAACATGAGCGGCTCGTGCGGTGGCGAGCGCGGCAGCTGCGCCGCCAGCCTCTGGACACCAGGCGCGGACAAGACCTACTCGCGCCTGCGGCCACGTCGAGGAGGGGGGGGAAGGGGAGGATCACTGACCAAACTGCCGGATCTGCGAGCGGGCCGCCATTGAGCAGTTCCTCGGGTTAACTCATGGCTAAGCCGAGGGACTGCCAATGGGGGACACCCATTGCTTGGGGTGCACCCCAGCTCGGGAGGAAGGAGGGGGGGGGAGAGGGGGGGAGGAGAGGTGGGAGGCGGGAAGAGGGAGCGAGGGCGACAGAGGGGGAGGGGGAGGGGAAGGAGGGCAAGCTAGGTGCGCTCGCGTCATATCTGGCGTCCTACCCCTCCCTCCCATCCCTTACCATGGCGCTGATTTTCTCTATCCGCGGACGCGTGTCGTAGCGGACCTGTGGCTCCGCGCGCGCGTGCGTAGTGGGTGGTGGTGCGTGCGTGCGTGCGTGCGTGCGTGTGTGCGTGCGTGTGTGCGTGGTTGTGTGTTGTGGTTGTGGTTGTGGTTGTGGTTGTGGTTGTGGTGGTGGTGGTGGTGGTGGTGGTGGTGTGGTGGTGGTGGTGGTGGTGGTGGTGGTGGTGATGGTGATGGTGGTGGTGGTGTTGGTGGTGGTGGTGGTGGTTGTGGAGGTGGTGGTGGTGGTGCTGGTGGTGGTGCTGTGGTGGTGCTGGTGGTGGTGGGTGGTGGGTGGTGGTTGTGATGGTGGTGGTGGTGGTGGTGGTGGTGGTGGTGGTGGTGGTGGTGGTGGTGGTGGTGGTGGTGGTGGTGGTGGTGGTGCGGCGCGGTGGTGGCGGGCGGATGGGCGCGCGAGAAAGAGGCCCGCGCTGGGGCGAGAACGCCATCCTGAACGACGGAGGCCAAACACCGATCCGAAAATGAGGCCCACGCTGCAGCGGGAGCACGATTCGGAACGATTCGGGAGCAGAAATGAGGCCGACGCCTCAGCGAGAGCAGCATTTTGGAAAAAAACGCAGGCGAAAACCCGTTTCCCGGGAATCCTGTGTGTAAAAAAACAGTACGCGGGGGGGGGTGGGGGGTCGGCGATCACCCAACCGCCATCAGGGGAAGAGGGAGAGTATTTTCATATTGAGTAATTGTCGAGAGGAGGGAAAGACAGGCGGGAGGGGGGAGGAGAGAGGAGGGGGGAGGGGAGAGAGGAAGGGAGGAGGAGCGGGAGGAGGAGGCCGTCAGGCACGATGTCGCTCGACGGCGTGTGTGCACGTCGGAGGAACGTCGCCGCCGCTCCTCTGCCTGCCCTGCCGGCTGCCTTGCTCCTCCCCCTCCTCCTGCGCGGCACCGCTGCGGACACCGCGGGCACGCCGTCCCTCAGGGAGGTGCGCAGCAGCGGCAGGCGAAGGTGGGAGGAAGGTGGCGGCGGCGGCGGACGATGGAGCGCGCGTCTTCGAGACGTCCTCCGAAAGGGGGGGGGAGGGGGGAGAGAAGAGGTCGAGGAGGAGGAGGAGGCAAGAGCAGGAGGAGGAGGCAGGAGGAGGAGGAGGAGAGAGGAGGAGGAGGAGGAAGAGGAGGAGGAGGAGGAGGAGAAGGAGGAGGGGGAGGAGGAGGAAGAGGGAGGAGGAGGAGGAAGAAGAGGAGGAGGCAAGAGGAGGAGAGAGAAGGAGAGAGGAGGAGGAGGGCTCTGGGCACACGCGTGCGCGACCCGCTTGGGCCCTGCCCAAGGCAAAACGTATCAACGGACGCTGCCGACTTATGCGCCCCAGACGTTTCCATTGCATGGTTTGAGAGGCGTCGTCGAAGCAAGACATCGTCTTGATGATGAACGTCCTGACACGCTGGTGTGGCACAGCGATAATACACCTGGAACGCTGGCCCTCCGCACGTGAGTCTAATCATTTTTCGTCGCAGGACCATCATCACCACCCCCATCATCATAATGATGGGTGGCATGACACACTGGTGTGGCACGCTGGTGTCATGGCAAGCTGGCCTTCCGCATGTGGATTCACTCGTATAGAATGGCAGGACCATCGTCATGATGATGGGTGCCATGATGAACTGGTGCAGAACACCGATCGCATGACACACTGGGCTGCTTATAGTATACACCATGGGATCTTCGTTCAGCACCGACCCCAATGATTGTGTATGACCGTCCGACTCCCTTAAGAGCGCGCTTGACGGGAAAACATTATGAGGGCGATGTTGAGGACATCTCCTTTTCGGTGCCGCAGCAAGAAAAGATTGCGCTTTCTGTTTAGAGCAGCACTTTGCCTGAACTACAAGCGCCGTCTTACCCCCCCAAGCGCGCGACCCCTTTGGCCTCTGCCCAAAGCAAGGAGGTATCAACGCACGCTGGCGACTTGTGAACCCCTGACCCAACGATTGCACGTTATGCGTGTGTCGTCGTGGCCGGGACATCACCAGGATTATGAATGCAATAACGCGCTGGTGTTGCAGAGCAATGGGTGCACATGGGACACTGGCCGCCCGCATGTGCATCCACGAATGTGTCGTCGCAGGAACATCCTCATGAGGATGCTTGTCCTGACGCGCTGGTGTAGCCCACCGATGTCATGACACGCTGGTGCGACAGGTGCGCCAAGGATGTGCGCCATGGCGTCCTAATCCAGCACTGGTCCATGGAAGGTTGGCCCTCCGCATGTGCGTTGGGTCGCGCATCATCGCAGGACTTTCGTCTTAATGATGTATGTCATGACGCGCTGGTGTGGCACCGTTCGGCCCCCTCAGGGGGCCTCTGAGAGGAAAACTGCTCCAGGTGACATTTCGTGGTAAGCCCGCCTTCGTTGCCAAACGCTACTTCGACACAGCTCCGCGCCCCGATTTGCCCCACCGATTTTTTAAACATTTTCTGAAAGCCGACATAAACATGACCGCGGCGATGTTCCGCGGAGGGAGTCGCCCATCAGGCTGCGTGGCCCATGGATTCCAATGCTCTGCTCCAACCAGCGGGCACACGTGCCTTTCCATGCCACGAAACATAATAGGTTCGTCGATTCGCACGCTATCCCACGAAAGGCACACACGCGCATCAACGTCCGCACTCCTCTTTCTAGGTCGCGCATGCGTGCGCCCGGTGCGAGGAGGAGGAGGAGGAGGAGGAGAAGAAGGAGGAGGGCAGGAGGAGGAGGAGGAGGAGGAGGAGGAGGTCGCCGACGCACCATCCGTCCTCCTCCCCCCGCCCGCGCGCGCCTCCACGGGCGGCGCCTCCTGGCCGCCGCCGTCCGCCTCCGCGGCGCCGCGCGGGGGGCGCCGCGCGCCGCGGCCGCGACCGCCCCCGGCTGGCGCTTCCCCCTCGGCCCCTCCGACGCCGCCGCCGCCGCCGCCGGCGACAACGACGACGACGACGACGACGACGACGACGACAACGACGACGACGAAGACGAAGACGAAGACGACGACGGCCGTCTCCCCCTTCCACCTCCGACCAGGCTGCTGGGGCAGGAAGATGAGGAGGGTGGAGGACGAGTGGGAAGGAGGAGAAGGAGGAGGAGGAGGAAGGGAGGAGGTGAAATGCGGAGGAAGAGGGGGAGGATAAGATACGAAAAAACAAAATCCGCCGGCCCCCTTGTGGGGCCACCAGGCTGTAGAACGAAGCTTCGCAGTTTCCTGTACCAGTTGCAGCTTCCAGTTTCCACTGTTAAAGTTATGCTTCTTGCTGCTTACTGCTCCTTGTTGACTTCTTGCTGCTTACTGTTCCTTATTGATGAACCGCGCGAGGGGGGGAGGCACAAAACAGGCCCAAATTGACACCCCTCACCAGATCGGCAGGGTCAGGGACCAAAAACACATCGGATTTGCCAAATGTCTAAAATTCGGTGACACCCCTCACGCAGATCGGCGGGGTCAGGGTCCAAAAACATAAGGGATTTGCCACATCTCTAAAATTAGGTGACACCCCTCACGCAGATCGGCGGGGTCAGGGTGCAAAAATACACACGATTTGCAACATTTCTGAAATCCGGTGGCACCCCTCACGCAGATCGGCGGGGTCAGGGTCCAAAAACATGCGGGATGTGCAACATTTCTGAAATTTGCTAGCATCCCTCACGCAGATCCGTAGGGTCAGGGTCCCAAAACACAAAGGTCCTGCCACATGTCTAAAATTCGGCGGCACTCCTCAAGCAGATCGGCAGGGTCAGGGTCCAAAAACACAAGGGATTTGCCGCATGTTTAAAATTTGCTGGCACCCCTCACGCAGATCGGCGGGGTCAGGGTCCAAAAACACATGGGATTTGCCACATTTCTAAAATTCGGCGACACCCCTCACGCAGATCCGTAGGGTCAGGGTCCAAAAACATAAGGGATTCTGAAATCCTGTGGCACCCCTCACGCAGATCGGCAGGGTCAGGGTACAAAAACAAGAAGGATTTGCCACATTTCTGAAATCCGGCGGCACTCCTCATGCAGATCGGCAGGGTCAGGGTGCAAAAACATGATCGACCCACGAACCCGGAAAGGAATATAGAAATGTAAGGCGTAGCAACATTTCAATGACACCTGATTGGGCGACGGGCACATGCAATGCTGAATGTATCGATGATAATGTACTGTGCCGAGGGCTGTGCTGTGCTACGCCGTGCTGAACTGCGATGTGCCATGCCGCGATTGTGCTCTATATAGCGTTGTGGATCGAGTCCTCCCTGGCATCCGAGTCCTCACCGAACTGATCTGGAGCGTAAGCTCGAGCTGCCTGAGCAGATGGTAGCTGCCCCAGAACTAATCGACAGAGGGAACATGCCAGGAGGACGCGCCGCCGAACGTCCCAAGGGACGCGCCAGGCGACGTGCCAGGGGACGTGCCATGGGCACGCACCGCGGGACGTGCCAAGGGGACGCGCTACGGAACGTGCCAATGGACGTGCCGAGGGACGTGCCAGGGGACGCGCCGCGCGACGTGCCAGGTGGACTCGCCACGGAACGCGCCAAGGAACGTGCCAAGGTGCATAGTTGAGTGTATCGATCTTGATGTACCGTGCCGACGGCTGTGCTGTGCTGGGCCGTGCTGAACTGCGATGTGCCATGCCGCGATTGTGCTCTATATAGCGTTGTGGATCGAGTCCTCCCTGGCATCCGAGTCCTCACCGAACTGATCTGGATCGTAAGCTCGAGCTGCCTGAGCAGATGGTAGCTGCCCCAGAACTAATCGACAGAGGGAAGATGCCAAGAGGACGCGCCGCGGAACGTCCCAAGGGACGCGCCAGGCGACGTGCCAGCGGACGTGCCATGGGCACGCACCGCGGGACGTGCTAAGGGGACGCGCCACGGAACGTGCCAATGGACGCGCACCGCGCGACGTGCCAGGGGGACTCGCCACGGGACGCTCCGAGGAAAGTGCCAGGCAACATGCCAGGCTGCAATGCTAAGGGTATCGATATTGATATACCGTGCCGAGGGCTGTGCTGTGCCTGGGCGACCTGGACACGTGAAAACACGCGTTTCGCTCAAGACGTTGTCAGCACATCCTCATGCTAGACATCCGCCTGGGCAACCTGAACACGTGCAAACAAGCGTCTCGCTCGAGACATCCTCAACAAATGCTCATGCTAGACATCCGCCTGGGCGACCTGGACACGTGAAAACAAGCCTCTGGTTCGGGACATCCTCAACAAATCCTCATGCTAGGCATCTGTCTGGGCCACCTGGAGGCGTGAAACCAAGCGTCTCGCTCAAGACATCCTCAAGACCTGGGCACGTGAAAACAAGCATTTCACTTGAGAGATCCTCTAAATTCTGGTCCCCAGGAGAGGACAATCTATAACACAAAACAAGCGTTTCGCTCGAGACATCCTCAACATATTCTGAAAAACAAGCGTTTCGCTAGGGACATCCTCAAATTTTAATTCGCTGGCCCTCTTCCCACTCGTTATTGATCGCAAAAGAAATCCGCCGGCCCTCTTCCCGTCAGATCCGGGGGTAAACCTACTAAAAGAGAACCCTGGGCCTGCGCCCTTTCCGGCAACACAAGGGATTTGCCACATTTCTGAAATTCGGCGGCACCGCTCACGCAGATCCGTAGGGTCAGGGTCCAAAAACACAAAGGATTTGCCACATTTCTGAAATTCGGTGGCACCCGTGACGCAGATCCGTAGGGTCAGGGTCGAAAAAACAAACACGTCCCGACACTGCTTCACGGCGGCGCCCAGACCTCATGATTTAGCTTTTGCATCTCCCATTATCCGAGACAGGGGGCGGGCGGCACGGGGCGAAGCCCTTACGGATAAGAAAATGTAGCATCACACGATATCAGATAGCATAAGATAGGATAATACATGATGCGATAAAACGATATGTGAGAAGACCAGATGAGATCGGAAAATATTGTATTAGAAACTGTGAGAGGACATTAGGTAAGACACGAAACTATGAAATAGGACATGCTAAAGTGAGATAAGATAAGGTAAGGTTACATCTGATGGTGCAAAACATGATGGACCCACGAACCCGGAAAGGAATGTAGAACTGTAACACATGGCAGCGTTTTCAAAGACACCTGATTGGGTGACGGGCAAATGCAATACTGAAGGTATCGATCTTGATGTACCCTGCCGAGGGATGTGCTGTGCTGCGCCGTGCTGAATTGCGATGTGCCATGGCGCGACTGCGCTCTATAGCCTCGTGGATCGAGTCCTCCTTTGCATCCGAGTCCTGACCGAACTGATCTGGATCTTAAGCTCGAGCTGCCTGAACACATAGTAGCTGCCCCAGAGCTAATGGACAGGGGAACATGCCAGGAGGACGCGCCGCGAAACGTCCCAAGGGATGCGCCAGGCGACGTGCCAGGGGACGTGCCATGGGGTCGCACCGCGGGACGTGCCAAGGGGACGCGCTACGGAACGTGCCAATGGATGTGCCACGGGATGTGCCAGGGGACGCGCCACGCGACGTGCCAGGGGGACTCGCCAAAGGACGCCCCACGGAACGTGCCAAGGAACGTGCCAAGTTGCAATGCTGAGTGTATCGACCTTGATGTACCGTGCCGAAATCAGTGCTGTGCTGCGCCGTGCTGAACTACGATGTGCCATGCCGCGATTGTGCTCTAGTGTTGTAGATCGAGTCCTCCGTTGCATCCGAGTCCTGACCGAACTGATCTGGATCTTAAGCTCGAGCTGCCTGAACACATAGTAGCTGCCCCAGAGCTAATGGACAGGGGAACATGCCAGGAGGACGCGCCGCGAAACGTCCCAAGGGATGCGCCAGGCGACGTGCCAGGGGACGTGCCATGGGGTCGCACCGCGGGACGTGCCAAGGGGACGCGCTACGGAACGTGCCAATGGATGTGCCACGGGATGTGCCAGGGGACGCGCCACGCGACGTGCCAGGGGGACTCGCCGAGGGACGCCCCACGGAACGTGCCAAGGAACGTGCCAAATTGCAATGCTGAGTGTATCGATCTTGATGTACCGTGCCGAGGGCTGTGCTGTGCTGCGCCGTGCTGAATTGCGATGTGCCATCGTGGATCGAGTCCTCCTTTGCATCCGAGTCCTGACCGAACTGATCTGGATCTTAAGCTCGAGCTGCCTGAACACATAGTAGCTGCCCCAGAGCTAATGGACAGGGGACCATGCCAGGAGGACGCGACGCAGAACGTCTCAAGGGACGCGCCAAGCGACGTGCCAAGGGACGTGCCATGGGGACGCACCGCGGGACGTGCCAAGGGGACGCGCTACGGAACGTGCTGGGGACAAGCGTTTCGCTCGAGACATCCTGTCAAAATCATCTGAATTCCTACGCGCGGGACGCTGCACGCGCGAGACATCCTCGGAATTCCTGCGAGCGGGACGTGAAAACAAGCATTTCGCCTGAGACATCCTTTGAATTCTGGCCCCCCCCGAGGCCACCGCTCGAGACATCCTCCAATTTTGCAAAACCAGCGTTTCGCTCGAGACATCCTCAACAAATTATGAAAAACAAGCGTTTCGCTCGAGACATCCTGTCAAAATCCCAAGAATCCAAATACCCGCGCGCGGGACGCGGCACGCGCGAGACTTCCTTGGAATTCCTGCGCGAGGTGCGCTTTTCCGTGTCGCGGTCGGCTCTGCAAAACCAGCGTGTCGCTCGAGACATCCTCAACAAATTATGAAACCAAGCGTTTCGCTCGAGACATCCCCGACTCTGCAAAACCAGCGTCTCGCTCGAGACATCCTCAACAAATATTGAAAAACAAGCGTTTCGCTCGAGACATCCTCAAAAATAATTTCGCCGGCCCTCTTCCCGCACGTAATTTATCGCAGAATAATTTCGCCGGCCCAAGTCGAAGGGGGGCCGGGGGGTTAACCTACTAAAAGAGAACCCTGGACCCGCGCCCTTTCCGGGAAAAAAGACAACCAAAACCGATGCATAATGAGGTAAGATAGTATACTGTATGATCATATATGATGAGAAAATATAGCATTAGCTAAGATATGAAAAGATGAGATAGAACACGACATGATGGACCCACGAACCCGGAAAGGGATATAGACATGTGGAGCATGGACACGTTTTCATGATACCCAACTGGGCAACACCTCACGAAACATCCCACGAGACACCTCACGAAACAGCCCACGAGACACCTCACGAAACATTCCACGAGACACCTCACGAAACATTTCACGAGACACCCCGCGAAACATTCCACGAGACACCCCACGAAACATTCCACGACGACAGGCAACCACTCAACCAAGGCGGTGTGGTCGTGCTGGGGAGTGGTCGTGCTGGGGTGTGGTCGTGCTGGGGGGTGGTCGTGCTGGGGGGTGGTCGTGCTGGGGGTGTGGTCGTGCTGGGGGGTGGTCGTGCTGGGGCGTGGTCGTGCTGGGGCGTGGTCGTGCTGGGGCGTGGTCGTGCTGGGGCGTGGTCGTGCTGGGGCGTGGTCGTGCTGGGGTGTGGTCGTGCTGTGGTAAGGTCGTGCTGGGGTGTGGTCGTGCTGGGGTGTGGTCTTGCTGGGGTGGGGTCGTGCTGGGGTGTGGTCGTGCTGGGGTGGGGTCGTGCTGGGGTGTGGTCGTGCTGGGGTGTGGTCGTGCTAGGGTGGGGTCGTGCTGGGGTGGGGTCGTGCTGGGGAGTGGTCGTGCTGGGGTGTGGTCGTGCTGGGGTGTGGTCGTGCTGGGGCGTGGTCGTGCTGGGGTGGGGTCGTGCTGGGGTGGGGTCGTGCTGGGGTGGGTTCGTGCTGGGGTGCTCCGCACCCTGTGATTTATCGATCGGGTCGTGCTGGGGTGTGGTCGTGCTGGGGTGTGGTCGTGCTGGGGTGTGGTCGTGCTGGGGTGTGGTCGTGCTGGGGTGTGGTCGTGCTGGGGTGTGGTCGTGCTGGGGCGTGGTCGTGCTGGGGTGTGGTCGTGCTGGGGTGTGGTCGTGCTGAGGTGTCCCGCACCCTGTGATTTATCGATCGGGATTTCAAAAACAAGCGTTTCGCCCGAGACATCCTCAAAAATAATTTCGCCGGCCTCCTTCGACCTCGATATTTATCCGGGAAAAATTTCGCCGGCCTCCTTCAAGTTGGGCACCGGGGACATGTTTACATAGACAAAGAGAACCCTGGGCCCGCGCCCTTTCCGGGAAAAAATAATGTACTAAAGTCAGAGAATGGAGTATACGATAGTAAAAGATAGACCGGATAATATAATATATGATACGATAAGGTAGGGTAGGAAAGTATATGATAGTGTAAGGTTACTTCAGATAGTAGAATACAACACAATATACAATGATATTGTATAGCAGCAAAATGTAGGACAAGATACGACATCGAAATATATTATAAGACTAAATCAGCTAAGGTGAGATGCGCCAAAGTGAGATAAGGCCAGATAGTATAAGATGCTAGATAGTAGAAGGTGGTGGTATAAGATGGCTCATGATGCGATGAGGATATATGAGATACGATCATATAAGATACTATGAGATGGCACACAACAGTATAAAGATAAACATACAGATGGAGAGCGATCATATAAGATAAGGCATTATATGACCATATACGATAAGGCGGTACATGATAATATACCGTATCATTAGATAACATAAGATGGGATAAGATAAACTAAGATCATATACGACACGATGATATAATATGAGATAAGATATGATTAGGTCATGCAATCCAGAGCAAGAAAACGTACGATAATATATGGTAATCTAATATATCATATGCTACGGTAAAATGAAATGAAGTCAGATACGGTGAGACAACAGACCATGAAATATAATAAGATGTTATAAGCTGTAATAAGATAATATGATAATGATGTTGATAAGCTAGCACATTATAAAATACGACAAGACAGTAATATCATACAATATCAGATAATGTAGAACACGATCAGGTAAGTTATGGAAATACGTTAGAAGATAGTGGAATATATTATAAGATGTTGTAAGGTATGATGGTGTAATAGATGAAAATAGTATACCAGTGAAAGAAAACTATCAGCTATGTAAACATAAGAGCTGATACGATAGGAGAATGTGATATAAGATAAGAAAAGATGAGACACAAAAAAGACATGATAAGACAATATACAATAACATAAGACACGATAAGACAAGCGCCGAGGAGGCCGAACAGGCTTCAGCCAACACAATGGGTTCCAGCGGGTGGCGCTTGGAGTCTTTTCAGCCCATACCCATTAGCCACTTCCGCCACCAGTTGGACCCCGAGACGACACAAGACGCAAAGAACATGTCACGAACTTCGGCGCCTCAACCCGCATCCACAGTTCAGGACGCGACGAAAATGTCACGAAGTTCGGTGCCCATATGGACCCGAGACTCACTTGTGCACTCTCTGCCGGAGCTCGCTCGGGAATTCAACTCCTTCTGGCGAATTCGCTCGTGGAGGGCGGCCATTCGAGCTTCAGAAAAATACCTTGCATCAGGATTCGACCTCACAGAAACGCTGGTGGTTTCAACTGCTGGTGCACGCACTGCCCGTGCCACGCGGTCCTGAGGAAGAACAGACAAAATCTGTTTGGCGAGCCCCTTTCCGAAGATTTCTCAAAACCTCGGTCCCCATTGGAAGTTGGTCGGGTGCATGGGCTGCAGAGCTTCCGTTTCCGTCCCTGCTGGGCCCACACGCCACACAACAGATACACGAAGACTGGCTGATCGCTCTGCTTAGACGGAGCGGAGCACCTACTACCAGACTGATGAACAGCAACAAGATGATGTCCCATGGGGGAGCGGAGGTAGGCTCGGAGGAAGTCTGGGGTCCCCCGGCACCCCGTCAGGGGTCCATCCTGGGAGTCCTGAAGAACAGTCAGGCACAAGAGGAGGAGGAGGAACAGGAACAGGAGGAGGAACAGGAGGGGGAAGAGGGGCAGGACCCCTCCGCCACTCTATCATGGGATCATGTCCCTCCTCCTGCGCTCTGACCCCCGATAGCGGGCCTGCATGTAGATCTCGTGGTCCAGGGAGCTGAGAAAGGGAGTCCAGGACGGCCTGCCCCCCGCTGCTCTGGGGGAGGGGGAGAAGAGTGTTCTTCGCTGGGCTGGGCGCGGGTGATCCGTCGGCCCCTCTCTGACGTCACCTGACGCCCCGTCCGCTTCGCGCCCAGGCCCCTCCGGCCCAGGGGCGTGAACAGGTGTCACCAGCGCTCAGCGCTGGGTCTAGCAGCTGAAGCAAATGCACTATGCTGCTGTTCTCTCTTGTAGGAGTGGAGGGGGGAGGGGCGAGGAAATGGGGGGGTAATGCAATGGAATGGAATGAACCCCTTCGCGAAGCGAAACAAAACCACGACATCCGAACTACGCTGACACTGCTCGGTTCGAGGACACCTCCTCGGGCCGCGGCCCACCGCAAAGCCTGTCGAGACATCTCTGGCGAGTGGCTTTCGGAGACCCGAGGCAGGGCTCCGCAGAGTAGTTGCGAAGCCACTGGCCTCCGAAAAACGCATGTGGAGCAGATCTGGGCGTTCGGGGAGCACGAACACATCACCCACCCCACCCTCACACTCCGGGTGGAGGGGTGGGCATAGCTTAGCCATCACCATCACCATCAGCCATCACCATCACTTCTGACGGCCCCCGACATCCAGACACTCCCCCCGGAAGCTCAGATCGAAGGGATTCTGGGTGACCCAAAAGGGGGTCCAGCTGAAAGGGGGTGGTGCAATAGATTTCGGGCAATTGCATTGCAAATGTACTGCGCCGGAGAATTGTATTGCATTGTATTGCAAGCAACGTATTGCACGCGAAAGTCCAGCAATACATCTGCGCCGCGGAATGTATTGCACGCCCCAAATGTATTGCAACCCCAAAAACCGATTGCACCAAATCTATTGCACCACCCCCTTCCCTTTTGGGTCAACCCGAGGAATGCGCTGGTCGCACACTCTCTCGCGGAAGCAGAAAGTCGGGCTGCTCTCCCGACGTGTCTTCTACACTCACCACTGGGACGCATCCACGTCCACAGCTGCCAGAGTGCTGACCTGGATCCTCGGGGAGGGCTGAACAAGAATGTCTCCCCGCCCTGAGGGGCGGGCGGATATCCGTGCCCGCCGCTTGTCGAGCGGTCTTTGAGAGCCCGGGGCCACCCCAACCCAACCCGAAGACCCGAATGTCGGGTTGGGGGGGGTACGGGCTTCACAGGTGTTTTTCCAACGTTCCCCGATCCCCCCCCCCCACACTGGAAATGGAGGGCAAATCGGGGCCCTCGGGTTGGGTTGGAGTGGTTTGGTGGACGGTGAGAGAAGCGGGTAGAAGCACGACGTGGGAAGGCGTTGGAAGTAGATCGGGCGTGCGCCCGCCCCCCGAAGAGAAGGGAGGAGGGAGAGCCGCTCGAGCCCTGCAGATAGGAAGGCGCCTGAAGTAGATTGGGGCCTGGGCATCCAAGAATCGAGATGTTTGGGGGGGGGGCTCGCGCCGACTTCGCACACATCCAGGGGGCTCCGACGGGCCTGAAGCCCTCGCGAGCCCCTAGCTCACGCCCCACCAAAAACGCCGCCAGCACCGAACGCTTGTCCTCGAGCGCATGTGCGGGGGGGCCAGAAGCCCTGAACCCCAAGAAACATGCCAACTCTTGGGCGCACATCTTTTCGGGAGCCTTGAGACGGGGATCCAAACGGGGGTCAGCCAGAGTGCGGGATCTTGCTGGATCCTGCAGAGCCAGGGGGGCACTTACCCAGGCTGGCACGCAGGATCCTGCAGGACTCTGCAAGATCCTGCAAGGCCTGATTGACCCAGGTCTGCATTGACCCGAGTGTAGTGGAACGCGCTCGGTGAACACCCTCTACTTCTGGCATCCTCCGCCGGCATTCCGCCGGCATTCCGCCGGCGCAGCCGCGCTCGTCTGACTCCCGCCGCCGCCAGCCTTCCGCCGCCTTCCGCCGAGGGCGAGGAGGCCCACTCCTTCGCCGGGAGAGCACGCCGGCTCGTTCGACCCTCGAAGGCGAGGCCGTTTCTGGCACGGCCATTACGTTCCGGCGGTGGGCCCCCCTCCCCCCCCAGGGGCACTCGCCGACCCGCCGCCCCTTCCCTGCCGCAGGCCCGCGCCCTTCCCCGGGCACCGATCGGCCAAGGACGAGACGGGCAGGCTCCCGATCTCCTCGGGCCGGGGGACAGCTGCCGCGCAACACAGCTCTCCGGGGCTCGAACTCACGTATAGATCGGGGAAGAGAGCCTGCACGACGGGCTCCTTGGAGGTCCGCGGGGACTTCGTGGACCGGCGCTGGCTATCCTGCTTCCAGCGTGCAGATCCCGTTCGGGTCGCCCATGGTAGCTTAGAGGTGAAGCCCAGGTGGCAGCCTGGAGGTGAAGCCAGGGTGGTTGATGTGCACTGTGGTGGCTGGTTGGGCAAACCTCGCACGCTGGCTGCGCGTCACAGTGTTCGCGCGCCGTCGCGCGCCCTCGGAAGCCGCGTGTGCCAAGTAATGCTGCGGAGCTAGTGTTTTCGCGAGGCCGTAGTACGGTCGGACCTAATACACAAGAACATCCTTCAAGAACATGAGATACTCCGCCAGCCAAGACACACAGGACAGCCCAGGGCGCACCCTCCCAAGGGATGCACAAGAGATCATCCACCGCGCACGAAGAGCTTGAGGGCACACTCCCCGAACCGATCTCGCTGTTATATGGGATGCACAGAGACTATTAATACTATGTGTCCTCCTTGGAGGCGCGCGTCCGCCTCGAACATCTAGTATACCCATCCTGTAGAATATCGTGTCCCGGGCGGTGTGGCCAGAAAGCGCCCGCCACGACGCATATACCATAAGATTTCTCGGTGCGCGCGTCGCCCCTGGGGGGGGGGCGACGCACACATAGTATAAGTATGTTGGGGTGACGCCGATTAGACCCTGGTCCGACCGTAGGCGTGAGCCCCAGCGGGGCGGCGGGAAGAACAGCTCAGGTCGTGGGTATTGTGGTGACACCACGGCCGCCACGGACCTCTTAAGGCGAGCGCGCAGGCCACCGCCACGCACATCGGGGCCAGTCCCTCGGGGCGCGCTCGTGCGCTCACGGCTCCCGCTCCTGCTGCTGCTCTGATCCTCATGCCCCTCCTGCTCCTCCTCGTCCTCCTCCTCCCCCCCTCCTCCTGTATGAATGGCACGATCCGCTGTTGTGTTCGAGCTCACTGGCCACGACCACCTAGGCAAAGCATGACGAGATACGCGATTGCACGTGTAGGCGCATGGATGGCATATTATTGCAGGGCGGGTTCCCGTATACCCGATCTGGACGCCCCATTCCCGCGTTCCAGTCCACGAGCCCTGCCCGCCTTGAGCACAAGCAGACCAGATACCCTGATGCAAGCTAACACAGATGCTCATGAGGCGCGTTGCTTTTCAAGTTGATGGCATTATGACTTGAAACACTGCCACGTGTCTTCTGATGGCGGGCGGCTGCAAGCTCGATTTCAGTGATGCGAGAGATCTGATGCGGCACTCGCTGACGGCGCGCGTCGCCTGAACTCCACAGAATCTCACTTGCGGCACGTGTTTCCTCCAACGTTCAGCTGGAAGGGGAAGGATGATGAAGGGGCCATGGGACACACAAAAACAAATACACAAATAACAGGATCCCCCATAGTTTCCCATATTTTCTGGGTTTTTGTCTTCCCCCCCACTGCCCATGTGTTCCCATATATTCTGGGAAATCGACGACTACTTGTGTCTGTGTTTTTTTCCCTCGTGAGATGAGGCGATAATGAGATCACAATCCCAGGACGATCAAAACGCAAATCAGAAGACGCAGCGCAAGAAATCGCACTGCCACTCTCTCTCTCTCTCTCTCTACATTTCAAGCAGGCCCCCCTGCGCCCAGGTGGAAAGTCATCGGGGGGAGCATTAGGTCGGGCGTGTCCCCCTACAGGCCGATGTTCGACGAAAAATAAAAATACTCGATAAACTATTCAAGAATGGTTTTAATAAATAAAAAACGAACAATCGTCCCCGCACTCTTTTTGACTGTGTTTGAATATTCCTCCTGTAGAGGGACAGGCCCGATTTCAGTATAGCAACGATTCGTGGGAGCCGAGTCTCTGGCAGAAGACGTGTGGGGCCGAGGGGCACTTGGGGAGCTCAAGAAACGAGAGGGACCTGCGACTCCACGGCAAAAGCGCGGGACACACAACTCTTGGCCGAGCAGCGGCTGGAGCGGGCGACTCCGATGACGTCGGGTGCAGCTCACCACCCAAGAAGAGCGCCCCACTTGCTGCTGGGTGTATCCAAGAGTGGCCGCTTTCGTCAAATTGCCCCCTCGAATGATGATGCACCCGGGTGCAAACCAGCGCTCGGGCACGCGCACTCGCCCAAGTACGTGCGCACATGCGAGCGCGTCATGGACTCTGTCTGGGAGCTCCCCCTCCTGTCCGACCGCGCACCCCGAGCGACAGAGACAGAGGTGCAAGCGGCAAAGAATCCTGACAACCGCTGAGCTTGGTAGACTTAGGTCGGGCATGTCCTCCTACAGGCGGATTTTGGACGAAACAAAAAAACATAAAGAAAACCAGCAAATACAAAAATAATCGAAAAGTCGTCCCCAGACTATGTTTTGACTATTGTTAAATACCCCTCCTTTAGAGGGACAGGCCCGACTTAATGGTAGTCAGTGGTGGCGCAAGGTAAGCTTGCAGCCAGGCCCTGAACTTGCAGACCGAGCGCTCTACCCCTCGAAGGTGTTTTGTCTGCCCCCCGCAGCCCGATCCCGCACAGACGCTGGCCAGTCCTTGTCAAACCCCGGCTAACACGCCACGCCAGATAGGCTTGCCCCAGCACGGGAAGAAGGCGACCTACTGCCCACTGAGACCGCTAACATCGCGCTTTGTAACGACATCGACGCTCGAAATTCTCAACCCGTTCCCCGGGACTGGCCTTTTCATCCCGAATCGCTGTTTGCCGGTCCCAGGGCCAGGCGAGGGCCCGCAGAGGCCGAGCGTACCCAAAAAACTGTCCTTCGCGTTTTTGTTTCACAGCGCGAGGCGCGAGGGGGTCTGGCACGGAGCCCCAGGACGTCGGATGGCAGGTGCGGGCGTCCTTGGAGAGGAGTGGGAGCCCGCCGAGCTGCTCGGGCCCAGGGCCGTCCCCGCAGAAGACCTTGACGAGCTTGCCGTGGGCCTGGACCCCCCCCCCACCTGGTTCTCCTCCTCCCCCTCCTCCTCCTCCTCCTCCTCCTCCTCCTCCTCCTCCTCCTCCTCCTCCTCCTCCTCCTCCTCCTCCTCTCCTCCTCCTCCTCCTCCCCCTCGCAAGGACAGTGCTATCGGTGTCTCTCCTTCCTCCTCTTCGTAGTCGTCGTCGCCGAGGTCGCCGACACCGCCACCGCCGCCGCCGTCGCCACCGCCGTCGCCGCCGTCGCCGTCACCGTCGCCGTCGCCATCCTAGGCGGCGGGCGCCCAATGCCCGCCGCCCACCGCCAGCCGCCCGCCGCCGCCGTCGCCGCACGCCGCCCGCAAACGCCGCGGGTCGTCGTCGCCGCCGCCGTGGCCGCCACCGCCGCCGCCGTCGCCGCACGCCGCCCGCAACCGTCGTCGTCGTCGCCGCCGCCGCCGCCGCCGCCGCCGCCGCCGCCGTCGTCGTCGCCGTCGCCGTCGCCGTCGCGGTCGTCGCCGTCGTCGCCGTCGCCGGCGGCGGCGGCCCCGCGGCCGCCCCTCCGAGGCCGCCGCCCAGGCCGCCCCCGCGGGGCAGCGCGACGCGGCCGCGCCCCGCAGGGTCGCGTCGCGGTCGCCGCGCTCCAGGCCGCGGGAGGCCTGGCGCCCAGAGGAGCCGCCGGAGAGCTGGGCGGGGCGGAGGGCCCTCAGATCGATCGGGGGCTGTTTTCCCTGAGGCTCATCCTCATCCTCCTGCTCCTCCTGCTCCTCCTCCTCCTCCTCCTCCTCCTCCTCCTCCTCCTCCTCCTCCTCCTCCTCCTCCTCCTCGGCCGGCGGCACGCGGCACGGCTGGCCCCAATGGACAGCGACGAGGCTCAACCTAAAGAAAAAAAGGCTCAGATCACGACGTCAAGAGACGACTCGGGATGAGAAGCTGGGCCATGGGAAGGGGTCAAGACCGCTGGGGGCCCACGTCATAAAGAAATAAGCTGCTTTTGCCGACCCAGGAAAATTCATTTGCATGGCATTCCCCCCCCCCCACCCTTGCCGCGGTCTCAGCGCCAGGCCGAAAAGGCGCGCAAGCGAGTCCCGACTTGCGAGAAGGTCAGATTTCCTGTCGGGCCTCGCCAAAGACCCCCTCGCCACACACACACACACACACACACACACACACACTTCCACGCAAGTAAGCTTGTTAGAATCTGCATTTTATATACTTCAACGAAGACGACGCCTCTCGATGCAGATTTGTTCACGCACCAAGCGTTTTCGCCCGTGGCCGGCCCCAGGACCATCACGGGTCGATCCGGCTCCAGACACGCAGCAGAACATGGGGTCTGAAGCTCTGATCGTGATTTTGTGCGGCGCTGCAATGTTTTGCAACGTCGCATCTCAGGGGTGGGGACAATGGGGGGCAGGTGGGTGGAATATCATTGTTCCCACTTTCAGTAAGCCGTATTGGCACAGAAGATGGCTTGCTACTTGGAGCACCGCCAGTAAGGGGATGAGGGGTCTCAAGTGGATGATGAAGTAAGTGATATCTGCAGGTGCTCTAAGCCCCAAGCGGCTTACGGGGGCAAAAGATCTGGGCGAAGAGGGCAGAGCCCGCTGAACGGAGTTGCCTACATGAGCCACTTGGAGCATTTGTCCAGCAACACACTCACGGGCCGGGCTAGTCCATGCCATATATATAGATATATTTATAGATATAGAGATATAGATATAGATATAGATATATAGATAAATATATATATATATATATATATATATATAGATATAGATCTAGCTATATATATAGATATGGATATAGATATATATAGATATAGATATAGATATATGTATATATATATAGGTATAGATATATATGTATATATATAAAGATAGAGATATATAAGAGAAATATATATATATATATATATATATATATAAAAAAAACACTTCATCCCCGGGGACGCCAGCGGGCGGGCAGGACAGAGTGGGAACGATCGGGGGCAGGCGGGTGGAATAGCCTTGTTTTCACCTCTCGTACAGCGTTTTGGCCCCGAAGACGGTCCGCTGGGCGTGAGGGTGCCCAACCGCCGAGAGCTGGGCCCCATGACCAGCAGCAAGCCAGAGCAAGCCTCGCACGCAGTTGCTTAAAGATTCGGTGCCTCGCTGCCCTCTCTTTTGCTCAGAGAGCGAAAGAGGGAGGACCGACATCCGAAGCTGTGATTCCTTCAATGCGCGGCTCCCTCAGAGCCACGTTCTCGCCCCGGGCCCGCTTCTCACGGGCCTCCGGGGCCAAACCAAAAACGGAGCCTCCGCAGGCCCGAAAATAGAGGAAGGACGCCCGGATACAGTGAGGGCTTCGGGAAAAAAGGAACCTTACAGAAGGAACCCACGGTCTGGAAGCCCGTGGAACACCAATTGAGGCCTGGTCATGGATATCACTGCCGTCCTCATCGGACGAGGAATCCTCCGGGATCTGAAACCGCCTGGACACTCCTTGACGAAAGCCCCGACCAGAATGGGCAAAAACGTATGTCGACGGAGATCTGGGTTCCCTTCACGGGGTCGCCGCCGCCCTTGAAAAGCAACGGCTGGAGAGGGGGCGGGGGCCAGCTCAGGGGGGAAACGTCGAGCTTGAATCGCCGCTGCACGGCAATGGGCCCCCGATAGCGCGAAACCTTTTCTCAACACAGAAATGATTCTACAGCGGACCGAGGGTAGCGAACAGGAGATGCCAATCGATAACACAACCCGTCAGGCAAGGCAGCACCCAAAAGAACTTGAGCAGGGACCGACCGTCCCAGCATTCCTGTAGGCCTACCACGACATAGCCTTAAAACGCAAAAAAGTTTGAATAACAAAGGCAATGCTCTTAGAACATAAAGATCTATGTGTTCAAACAAGACAGCCCCAGCCAGAAATGTTCTGAGAACATTTCGTGCAAACCACGAAGGTTCTTAGAACATTCTCCGGTGGGCATAAAGGCAATCCAAGACGCCTCGCCACTGCTTGAAAATAGACTGAAGCCCCCGATACCAAAACCGCGCCTTCCTGGGCGGGGCCTGGCGGGCTAGCCGGCCTCCCGTCGGCGATAAATCGGCGATCGGGGGTCGATGTGTCCCCCCCTGCGCCTGTCACCCCCCTGTAGCGTTGCCCCCGAGGGGCAGAGCAAACTTCAGCTGGATCGAACCGCGAAGTCGGATCGGACCGGACACGGATATGCTCGCCAGCGAGTCACCCCGAATCGGAATCAGATCGCCGCGCCCGGCTCCGGCCAGACCTGGCAAATGTCGGCGAATCGAGCCGGGTCAAAGGTCGAATGGAATCGGAATCGCGGCCTGAGCCAGCAAAAAGAATCGCATCGAATCGGATCGTACCTACGGCTGTCACCGCGGGATTCTTGGAGGCCAAGCTACAGCGCGAGGATCGGCGGCGACGATAGGGGCGAATAGTCCAGGGGCGGGCATTACACGTATTCGCCCAGGAGCCTTCTCGAAGACATAGATCATCGGCGCACCTGAATACATGTATTGCTCTCCCCTGGGCTATTCGCCCCTATCGTCGCCTCTGAGAGGAGGGTGGTGAGGCACCTTCAATGGCACCTTGAGCCCAAGGCGTGCGGCCCGCCGCCGGCGCAACCGCTGCAGACGCACCCCGAAGAGCTTCTCCTCGCACAACGCCTGGGGCACGACGCCCGTGCGGAAGAGGGTCCGCCGCACCCCACACCCAAGGGATCAGAGCTTCCTATGAGGAGGATAAAAAAGGAGGAGGAGGAGGAGGAGGAGGTGCTGGAGGACAGGTGCAAGCCCAATACGCATCAACAGTGTTGCACCAGACCATCCCTCCAAGCTCCCTCTTCACACGTCCATAAAAGAATGTTTGCTCATTGCGGGAAGCGCCCCATTGAAAGACAAACTTCTGAGAGTCCTCAACCGTGCCAAATCGCCCTTCCTGGGACGCCAACACCACACGTCAACATGACTGTTGCATTCTGGTATTCCTACACTGTGCCAAAACACCCTTCCTGGGACTTCAACACGGGACTGTTGCGCCCTGCGAATCCCAAATATTGCTAAAACACCGTTCCTGTGACTGCAACCCTACGAACCTTCAAAACTGACCTCCACCCTTGAAAAGGAGCCGTCCTCGATGCGCGAAGCTGCTAAAAACGTTTCGAGCGAATGTGCGCGGCGATATAGCGAGAGCCACATGTTGAAAAGAACATGCACTCCTTCCTCGTAGCTGCTGCATGATTACTGACGAACGCGCGCGGAGCAATAGGGAAAGCCACGTTCTGAAAAGCACTCGCCCTCCATGTTTGAAACTGCTGCATCGTGTTAAACGGATGTGCGCGGCGCTAAGGCGGGAGCCACATGTTGAAAAGGACCCGCCTGCTATCCTGGAATTTGCTGCCCATTTCACGATTCAGAATCACGAATGGCCAGGCGGTCTCAGGCGAACGGCACGCCGTACTGACAAGTCTGAGGTTGCGACAGGGAGGAAGTATTCCCCAAATTGTGCTTGCACTTATGTAGTTCTTACATCTGCAACGAAGAACTGGGCCTGTTTGCTGGTCTGGCAACTATGTTGCCCCCGTCGACGCCCCGTCGCCGCTTCGTCGTCGCCGGTCGTCCAAGCCTATCTGCCGGTCGGGCGGCTATGTTGCCGCCGTCGCCGCTCCATCGCCGCATCGTCGCCACCCGTCGTTTGGGCCTGTCTGCCAATTCGGCAGCCACGTTGCCGCCGTAGCCGCCGCGTCGCCGCCCCGTCGCCGCTTCGATTGCAAAGCATTGTTTCACAAGGATCCCAAATCTACAACCTTACCCCCCCCCCTCCGGACGCATCTGCCCCCCAGGGAATGCGAAATGTTGAAACGAGTTTAACACTTTGTGCAATTCCCATCTGAATTCATTCCGTCCAGGCCAAGCTCGTATCGACACCACCCGTCATCCTCGTCGAGTAATGCTATGCGCACACGCTCGTTCATCGATCATCATCAAGTATCACAACAAAAAATCCAAACGCATGCGTCGTCGCGCGCGCATTCCGACAAACTTCGGGGGGGGGGGGGGGAAACGGGATCGTAAGGTTATCAAGGTCGAAATTCCATGGGACTTACCTGAATTCCTCTTGCTCAAGATGCACCCACAAACTCCCGAAGAGTCTATGCGTACACAGGTGCATTTACATGGCAGCACGGTTCGGGCCGCTTTGGCACTCGAGCGCGCCGTCTCAGGAGACTTCCAGATGTCAGAACTCCTGCTCTGGATACTGTACGTGTGGAAAGCGATCACCACATGTTCGAAGGCAATCTTCTGTGAGAGGCCATCTTCTTTGAACGCACACAACCCCAAACGGGCAATCGATTTAGCTCGAGCTCTGTCGAACCAGGACTGGCATACGGCGTGCCACAAGCGAGGGCATGACATGTAATGACGCATACAATCTGCAGCGTTTTGGGAGTCCGAAACAGTGCATCCGAACACGCAACGGCCGCTGGCACTGGCACCACGCTGTTTGGAGCGCAACCGACGGCCGGTCGCCCACCCCCCACCCCCCCGCCCGGGATTAGAGAAGGGCACGGTATGCAGCGGGGGGGGGAGGGGCGACACGAGGAACGCCTCGAGGGGCCCCCACTCGATCTGCGAGGAGCGAACAGCTTCATTCTCTGG